TTTTTTAAAAAACGAAGCATTAACACATGTTAGACTGCACCCCATAAACACAATCAAGCCTAGAAAAAAACCATTGAACCACCCCTTTAAAGAAAGTAAAATATATTTTTTTAACATTCTAGTTATTTTTGTGTGCTCTGTGTATTGTTTCAGTGCCCAATAGGTATATAAATATAATTACTTTTTAAACTGTATTAATTTACAACAAATTATATATGGATTGCAGATAATTAAGGATTTGCTGAAATAGCACATGCACAAATGTATTGTATTAATCTCAGATGCATTGAAGTAATCTGCCCCCTGCTGGACGTTCTGGTCCTCACACTGTTTGGCTGAAATCTCAGGCATTGTTTTTATTTAAGAATTATTGCTGATATCAAACCTATCACTGTAGGCTCTCCTAATTGTAATAATCATAATAGAGCATAATAGATATTTTTTCAAGTCTCAGAAGGAAGCAGAATTCTACTTTTCTATTGCTCTAGGGTCGTTATGCATGTTTCTGACACTCACCTGTTTGTTTTTGTGTGTGCTGTTCAGTCCTGGGGAAGATCTGCAGTGCAGTGGGAAGTGCACAGCTGCTTATGTCCCAGAAGTTTAAGCAGTTCAGGGAACTGTGTGAGGAAAATCTGGTGAGTACTAGTAGGAATGATATAATAAATATTATTTGACAGAATCAACTTATACTATGAATTGAATCGACACTGAACTGACTTGAGCTGAATGATGACGCTATTGTCTTTTTAAGAGCTTCTTTACAGCAGAATTTGAATTCTTCAGTCACATTTTTGAAGACGTTTGGGGTCAGTAAGATTTTTCTTTTTAAAGAAATTAATACTTTAATTCAGCAAGGATTAAACCGATCAAAAGTGACAGCCAAGACATTTATAATGATGCAAAAGATTTCTGTTTTAAATAAATGCTGTTCTTTTGAACTTTCTAAGTATTATATTCATCAAAAAAGACAGCTAAAAATGTACATTTGTAATCACAGAAATAAATTACATTAAAAAATAGAAAACACTTATTTTAAATTTTAATAATATTTCACAATATTACTGTTTTTATTACTGTATTTTTGATTAAAATAAATGCAACCTCGGAGACTTCTTAAAAATAAACATTTAACAAATCTTACCCGACCCCAAGCTTTTTGAACAATAGTGCATCTTTAAGGCTGTGAATCTTTGGAAAAGAATGGAACTGTGGGTACCTTTGCACCTTTGCAAGTACAGTACCAGGATGGACACACCATCTGCAGAGAAAACAGTTCCAATAAGGCAATAAGGATGTTTTGACAGCACAGCTGATTCTTATAGTTCCACTTTTGTTACTTCTCTTGGCTCAGCAGAACCCAAATGCTCACAAACGGCCAGTGGCTCAAGATCTCGCAGGGTTCTGGGACATGCTTCAACTATCCATTGAGAATATCAGCTTAAAGTTCGATGAGCTTCACCAGCTCAAAGCCAACAACTGGAGACCCCTCGACCCCCCCGAAAGAAAGGTAAAACAAACTTGCAGAATCAGTACGGAGCCACTGACAAATGAAGAAAAAGAATGCAGACATGCTAGCTGCCTGATCGAAAGGCGTTTTTTTCATTCATGTACATGGTCTGTTGCTTCTGTAGTGTGATATTATGCATTTAAGGGTGGGCACTGGCAATAACAAACCTACAAACTCCACATTATTATTGTGAATTATTATAAATTTGCTTCTGGAAGTGTTGCTGTTGCCTCCCTGTGGCTCATGTCGGTCTGTTGGTCTAATGTGACTGTGAATGTTTCACTCACTCTTAATTTCCTGACATCCTCTTCATGTTTGTTTGTTTGTTTGTTTGACAGTGAGCTGTTTTCAGAAGTCATTCCATCCGGCACGCACCATGGGGGCAGTGGCCCCCAACCTCTCACCCCCGCCGGGGCGCTCTCTTACCGCACGCAGTCGGCCGCGGAAGCGTTAGCACCGCTCCGTAATGTTAGCCGCGGCTGGCCTTAGCGCTGTCTGTGTGCAGGTGTGCCATATTGCTGTCTCCGCTCGTCTTTCTCCTCCCGCTGCGGCGGCTAACTGACTGTTTGTCATCCCTGTTCAGGAGAGAAGGCTGCCTCCCCCAGTGCCAAAGAAACCCCCTAAAGGCCACCCTCCCCTGGCCAGAGATCGCTCGCTGGAAAGCACCGAGAAGCAGCGTCAAGAGGCGCGCAAACGTTTGATGGCGGCCAAACGAGCTGCTTCAGTACGGCAGAACTCGGCCACAGAGAGCGCAGACAGCATCGAGATCTATATACCTGAGGCCCAGACCAGACTATGAAACTGCCAAACACACGAAAACGCACTCACACACGAACGCCCAAGTGCAGAATTCCGCCATGAGCACAACACGTCACACAGATCTATATCTGCCTAATGCTAAGATCACTGTAAATTAGGAGCGCCATACACCAGCACCATGATAGCACAGAAGTGGTCATTTGACCTTTCATTATTTAATAAATGACAACCAACATAGATGTACATCATATTTATATGACCCCAAGATGTTAGTCAGGAAAAATTACTTGTTTAATTTTACACAAATGAAAAAGAGGCTGTAGGTTGTACTGTCTTATGGTCAATCTAATTTTCACAGCCCATGTTTTCCTGTTTTTGTTTTGTTTTTTCTCCTTGTTTTCTCCTGGAAGCTTTTTGGAAAGACTTTTTCAGGGTCCATTAAATGTCCTGAACGTCCAGTGGGGGAAATGGTCAAGGGACTTTAGTTTTGTTCTTTTTTTAGTATTAATGCTCTTAAAAACAATAAAATTCTTAAAACAAGATTTTTTGTTTATTTTAGAAGCAGCACTGCATAAAATATTAAGACTTGTTTTCTTAGATTATATCTTGAATAAACACTACTGTTCAAAGGTTTGTGGATGTTAAGTATTTTATTTGATGAAAAATACAGTAAAAAAATAATTATTATAATTTAAAATAACTATTTTCTATTATTTATTTTAAAAGTTATTCCTGTAATGGCAAAGCAGTCATTACTCCAGTCTTCAATGATTCTTCAGAAATCATGCTAATATTCTGATTTGGTACTCAAGAAATAGTTCCTATCATTAGCAATGTTGAAAACACTTGTGCTGAATAATATATTTGTGGAAACTGATACTTTTTTCAGAATTCTTTGATGAATAAAGTAAAAAAAAAACATAATATAATCTTTTGTAACACTATAGATGACTTTACTCTCACTTTTGATCAATTTAATGCATCCTTGCTGAATAAAAGTATAACATTTATTTCAGAAAAAAAAAATGTTAACGTGCTAATAATTCCACTTGTTTTAAAACTGTAAAAATGTCAGTGTGATTACACAAAATACACTAGTATTAAAGATACATTCTCTGACAACAAGTCTTTCATGTCTTTAATTTACTTAATTTATCTTGTTTCAATGATTTCTGGATATTTTAATTAGACAAAAATCCTCATTAAGAATATGATTTTTGCAGTGCAAAAACAAAAGTGTTGCGTTTATAATTTTGTTCAGTGTATATACCGCTGAATATAACTACTGACCTTTTTTTGTACACGGCAGCATTTCTTTACACCTCGAACAGAACCTGAACAGTGCAGAATTGTCCCTTGTAGCCTCACTTTTATTTGCGTCAAATTAACTAAGCGTACCTTGAATAAGATCTATGACTAGAATATTCACATGCACACTATTTGGAGCTCAGCCACTTTATATATATATATATATATACTCTTTTTTTATGCATGTGTGGTTACATACAGTTTGTTTGTAAACACATATAATCACGGTTACACATGCACACGTTGTAACAACCTCTCTCAGAGCCATCGGCTGACCTTCGTTCACCATGTAGATAAACATGGGCATATACACGTGTATATACTTTATCATTTAACAGTTCTACACAGACTTATGACAAATAATAACAGGCTGGGTGTTTGTAATATAATCTGTCTGTACCTTTTTCCTCAAGGGTTGAAGGAATGTTATAGCAGGTTTAATGTTTTACTTCTCCTGTCTTTCCCATCTATCTCTCTCTTTCACACACAGTCTTATTCTGTTGATCTGAAAATATGTGATCATAGTGAATTATGTTCCTAGCCATGTGAAGTAGATAAACCCTCACTCTCAGTCCCTCTTACCATCTAGGAAATACTGTATCCTGTTGTCTTTTAGCATTTCTGTTTTTTAGCATTTCTGAGCAGAATTGCTTGCAGTTCCATCCCTGCCCGCTCTTTTTTTTTTTTTTTTTGTAGTGCAAATGGAAAATAATGACCACATAACAGGGTATTTTAAGCTAAAAGCAATACTCATGAGAAATTCTAATGTTGCTACATTATTTTGATGTAGAGATTCTGTAAAACTGATTCATTGCTAATGAAAAGATAACTTCACTATTCTGTAGCCATTTCGGTTTCTTGTCATTCTGATGCTTGCTATTGTGAACCCTTATCAGTGGCCACTCTTGAACAGTTCTTCTTATTTTAAATCCTCTTTAGTCATATGTGGGACATTTAGGCACATTATTATATTCTTTAGTGTATAAATACAAATAAACTTACTAATCATTTTTCTAACATAGATTTGGGGCCTTCTGTGGATTTTTATGTAGACAAGTAGTAGGCCTACTTCAATGAGACGACTGCAAAAAAAAAAAAAAGGACACAAGAGGGGGAGATTTAACAAAATGCAAGTTTTCCATCATTGTTCACACGATTATGTCTTTCCAGTAGCAATTTCAGTGACTTAATTTAATGTGTTTTAATACTGTGTTGGGGCACAGGGGGAAATTTTTTCATAAGCTTTGTGCTCAAAAGGGTTGTGACTCTGAGAGGACCATGTGACTCTGCCTGATCTGTCGTGTCAGGTGAGCTAAACTAGCGTTAAACTCTCAGGAAAAGACAGGTGAAGTGAGTGCAGCAAATTCAGGGTCTCCCAGTGGTGATGTTTTACGCGTGTTTTTGTGAGCGTGTTTGCGTGTTCAGTGCACACAGGTGTAAGTCTGTGTTTTAAAGAATGTATGTATCTTTGTGGTAGATAGGTGTGTATGTGAGCTTGTGTGCATCGCGTGCGTGCGTGTGTGTGTGCGAGTCTATAAAAGTGCTTCCTGATTTTATTGGTTAACACAATCTTTGATTTTTTTTCTGTTGGTTGAAGTCAAGTAGCCTCATGAACTCGTGTACAGTATCAAAGCCCCTTGGTCTTATTTTAGTCTATATTGTTTGTACAAGAAATCAATGATGAGGATGTTCCTGAAAGCATGCAGACACAATATGAGTCCTATAGATATATATCTGATTTATACTATTATTTATTTATTAATGTACTTATTTATTTGTCTTATCTATTTAGGATTTATTTTATACGGTTTTGATTCTGTTTAGTGATCTGTCATGCCACCCTCAAATTGTGAATATGTTGTACTGTATGTATAAACATTATATGTGCATACATACGATGAACAAACAATAAATTCTTGAAACTCTATTTGTCTTGACATGTATTACAATATATACACAAACAACATACATAAAGAACGATTTTAATTTTTGCAATATTGTCATGATGGGTAGATTTTTTTTTTTTTTTAGATCTTATCATGAATTTAAAACCATAAACACTTGGTTTATAGTGAAAAGGCTCACTGTCTTGTTATCTTGTTCAGTTTTAGCCAAATGTTGTTGGCTGGACTGCGTGGAGGAAGACGGGGAGCAGGAAGATTTTGTAAACAATCGTTAGTGTTGCTTGCAAAGCTAATATTATTCCTCAGATAGTCTGTGCATCACTCATTCCGCAACAGGTAAGAATGATAGCTCTATAATGCGACTGAGGAAAAGTGTATTATGAATTCTGTATGTGATCAGGCCATATACGATTCGCATACAATTTGCGATGTCATGTCAAATTGTGGCACAATTCCACTTATTTCTTAACGTAATGCGACAATGCTCTCCTCCAACACTAGGCGTCACTGAGGATCCAGCAAAAAAGCACTTGTTGCTCTGATGCACCTTGCACCATCCCGCTCATACAGTACAGCACATTCTTCAGTTAGGATGAACTAGGCTATACTAACTATATGCTTGCTGAGGTATTGTGTAAATGTGCTTTTATTTAATAGTTAAACATAATCAGGACCCATTCTGTCTAAAGTGAAAACGAAATACAAATCATCTTAGAATTGTTGACTGTTTCGAACGCATCATTCGGTAACAAGTGCCAACCTGAATAAATATCTTGCTTTGGAGTAGCTAATCGTCGGACGCAGAAGGACTCACTCAGTCACCTGCAAGAAAACTGACTGCGACTTGAATACAGTGTGCGTGTTCATGTTAAGTGCGCTCTAGGGAAACCAGGTCACAGCAAAATCCCCAGAGTTAACACTGTTGAGGATTATGTGATACGTTTTCATGTCTAAAAGCCTGAGCAGTAGTTGTTCATCTTCAACATTGTTAACAGCGGGTTTTCTTTACTAATGCTCACTCATCAATTAAATAATTGCTTAATTATCCCATTAACTTTAACTCGGCTTCAGTGTTACTTTAACACGCTGTAGATTGGGACAATATGTACTCTGAGCAGAGTTGATTTAACTCTTGGGATTTTGCTGTGAAAATGCACGTTTAGCACACTCTTAATGGCTTAATCAATCGTTTTCGGAAATCTGGGCCCTGGGTTATCGTTTTTGCAAATAATATATGTAGCTCTCTTAAATTAACTTGCCTACTGATATTTGTCTTTCCCTCTCTTAGTTCATGTTCATAAACATAGGCTAGATCGTAAAGTGTAGCCTGCTGTAGGCTACAACAAGTTTGTAAAAACGTAAAGAGCTTTGGAACATGGTATTAATGCATTTTTATTGTTATAGAGAATTAGACGTTATATTTGAGGATTTAAACAATAAAAATAAATGCTAAAATCGTCTTTCAGTCAGTGATTCTCAATTGAAGCATCACGACCAAAACAATTTCTAATGCTGTTAATAAACTGCAACTAACAATAAAACCGTGCATAGTTTAGATATTGAAAACTGAGGGGGAAATCCTTGCCATATATTGTTGATGATGTCAAAGGCCGTGCGTTCAGTGAAACTTGTATTTTTGGCGTAAATCACCTGTCGCATATGACTAATATTAAGTAGTATACAACATTTGGCCCTTTTGGTGTTTGTTTATTGCATATGACTTAAAAATCACACTTCCGCTGTTGTTTATGCATCAACAAAATTGTCAGCTGTCCTAATATATTACTGTGCATACTGTAATGTCTGTTAGTTTTAAATGGTAATAAACATATCTAATTTTGAAGACATTTTGATTACTTTTCTACGATTAAACAGTTTGGCTGTTTTGTTGGGTCGCACAGAGTAAAACCATCAAATTCATTAAGGGCCAAATTTGAAAGGGTATGCATTTGTACCTATTAATAATTGTAATATTTTCCCCTCATATTAAGTGCATATTTTGACAAGATTTTACCACTGTTGTGTATGTGGTTGCGAAATGTTACGAAATTTGGACCTTCAGCACCTAGACTACCTGACAGCTCCCATACGTTCTACTTAATAATAATAAACAATCTGCTTGCTGGTTTGTGAAACAGTTTTTTACTTGCCAATATGCACGTAGCACTTTTATGTTAAGGACTTTATTTCACTATTTAGACATTTTAAAATAGTTTATAATCCGAACAGATTCTTCATTCTTACTATTAATCGAGTTAGAATTGTTAAATTTGTCGGTGGTTGTTGTGATGTAAGATTTTTTTTGTTTGTTTTGTTTTGTAGTTCACTAA